TCGAAAATCTACTTCTTCGAAAAGTCGATAATCTACTTTCCCAAAAAGTAGAAAATCTATCTACTTTTCGGGAAAGTAGATAACCAACTTTCCCGGAAAGTAGATATTTCCCATTTTTTATGATACAAATTTCCCGTTTTCTATGATAATCTACTTCGCAAAATTAGGAAATATTTCTGGGGTTCTGAAAAATTTATCGAAAAGTCGATAATCTACTTCCCAGTAGAAAATTCATTCATTTTCGAAAGTAGAATCAACTCTTCCCGATAGATATTTCCCATTTTTTATGATACAAATTTCCCGTTTTCTATGATAATCTACTTCGCAAAATTAGGTAATATTTCCCCCAAAATTCGAAAATCTACTTCCTCGAAAAGTCGATAATCTACTTTCCCGAAAAGTAGAAAATCTATCTACTTTTCGGGAAAGTAGATTACCAACTTTCCCGGAAAGTAGATATTTCCCATTTTTTATGATACAAATTTCCCGTTTTCTATGATAATCTACTTCCCAAAATTACGTAATATTTCCCCCCAAATTCGAAAATCTACTTCCCCGAAAAGTCGATAATCTACTTTCCCGAAAAGTAGAAAATCTATCTACTTTTCGGGAAAGTAGATAACCAACTTTCCCGGAAAGTAGATATTTCCCATTTTTTATGATACAAATTTCCCGTTTTCTATGATAATCTACTTCGGAAAATTAGGTTATATTTCCCAAAAACTCGATAATCTACTTCCCCGAAAAGTCGATAATCTGCTGGACCTATTTGGCCCAATCCAGACCTATTTGGGCCAACTTAATAGTTGACCTGGCTGCTCCCAGAGGAGTGCCAGGTACGTCTTGACCCTTCGGTGGTCAAGGATGAAACTCTGGCGGTGTATAGAAATGTCTGGCGGTGTATGGTAGTCTCTGGAAGTGTACAGGAGTGTCTTACGGTCTGCAGGAGCGTCTGGTGGTCTACTGGAGTGTCTAGCGGTGTACAGGAGTGTCTAGCGGTGTACGGGAGTGTCTGGCAGTGTACAGTATGTGTAGGTTGCCCATTTGACTGGTGCGTTGCCCTTGTGGTGGAGTCCTGTTGGCGGCTGACTTCTGGTCACCCACCAGGGCTGAGGACGAATTGATGGATGATGTTGTGGTTGGTGTATGCTGGGGGCCAGAGGGTCACAGGTCTCTGATGACGATGTTGAAGTGGTCTTGTTGACGGTGTAGTAGCTCTGTCACGGTGGAGTAACCGGTGTTTGGTGTTACGCTTATTGTTGCTACACAGTTGTTGTGGTACTCGTTATAGATGCGTTTGTTGACATTAAAACTGAGGAACGAGATCTACCCAAGCAGGGAATTATAATATTGGATACGTAAATGTTGGTAAGTGAAGTTACTGCCAGAAGTCCTGCAGAAGGTAAAGAGGGAGAGGGCATGAGGAAAGATGTATGAAGCTGAAACAGACAAGTTGGTGAAGGAGAAGCCCGTTGAGCTGTGTTCTTGATGAGTGTTGTTGTGGTTATTAGATTAGTCTCGTGTCGACTTGCATGCCTTGCCCCCGTTTTCTCCCCCCACAACAGGCCTCCACCCCCCCCCACACACCCCCAAGCACGTTTGTCCGAGAGTGTGGGATATTTTGTTGGGTTAAGAAGGGGAAACTATAATTGCTCTCTCAGGGGACGTGGATGGAGGCGCTGCCAACTTTATGACCAAGAAACTATATATATATATATATATATATATATATATATATATATATATATATATATATATATATATATATATATATATAATTTTTTTTCCATTATTCTCCTTCGCTGCAGTTGACACAATTATCTGTTTTTGGTTAGTTAACGCCATTTTTTTTTACTTTACTCAAGTTGTGAAAGTTAATTACAACAAGAAGTTTCTCAAAGCAGGAACAAGTTTGGTGAGTGAGTTTGTGAGGTGCAGGCCGGAGTGTGGGTGGGTGGTGAGGCTGTGTTGTTTATACTTCTGTGTTTATTGTTTGCTGTGTATCATGTTTATGTTTAGTGTTTATTGTTTACAGCTGTTGGTTTTATAGTTTGTTCTAGATTTTTATTGTGTATATAAAGCTCAAAAGGCTGTACAAGGCTTTATAGTTCGTCCACATGGGGCGTGATCAAGATGGTGTGAGGGTTAAACTGTACTAAGAAGGAGTTACCAGTGCAGTGTTGAGACTTGTGTTTACTGTTGGTGACGTCAGACTGTTTACTATTGGTGACGTCAGACTGGTATCGACGTGCATTCATTCAACGTTTACTATACGTCATAGCTTCAGTAAAACCGGTTAACATTAAGCGCCAGAGCCTCATTGATGCATAGTTATTGGTTTTCTCAATACAACGTCAAATTTTCAACTTGCCGAGTCGTGTAAAATGAATATATTCATTACCGACATCAGAGTTTTAGTGAAACATACGAATGCATCTGCTCCTATGGTTTTGAAAATCCACCAAAACTGCATAAAACACTCTGGCTGTATGGAATATTGAGTAGCGAGTATGTAGAGGCCTCCACCATCACAGTTAGCCAGCGTGTGGTTTTCGGTTCATTTAGGAGGAGAATTAGAGTGAACAAATGGACAACACGTTCACGGGTAACTGGTGGCAGTGAGGGATTCCCACCAGACACATGCTGTATTCCCTAATGGAAGTGCAACAACTGTGCATTCCAATAACAGCCTGTCATGGGGAAAGCTTTCAAAATTGTTTGTAAGGCTAAGCTGGGGGAGGGGGGGGGCTTACTCAACATGCCGCCAGTATTGTCCCAGGCAGCGTAACACCTGCGGTAAAGTGCAGCCTTTTCAGAGATGGGCAGAATCCATTACGGATTCGTGGATGGGAATAGTAAATTAAAAAAAAAATATTTGGAGAACTGGAGCACTTGCCCTGCAGCACTTATCCTAGGCGTGGTGCGCTGTGTTGGGGAGACGCAGGAATTGTACTTATCCCGTCCGCGTCTGTGTGTTTGTTGCCGACACCTGTGGTCTGTCTATTGTCAACACCTGTGGTCTGTCTATTGTCAACACCTGTGGTCTGTCTATTGTCAACACCTGTGGTCTGTCTATTGTCAACACCTGTGGTCTGTCTATTGTCAACACCTGTGGTCTGCCTATTGTCAACACCTGTGGTCTGTCTATTGTCAACACCTGTGGTCTGTCTGTTGTCAACACCTGTGGTCTGTCTGTTGTCAACACCTGTGGTCTGTCTGTTGCCAACACCTGTGGTCTGTCTATTGTCAACACCTGTGGTCTGTCTGTTGTCAACACCTGTGGTCTGTCTGTTGTCAACACCTGTGGTCTGTCTGCTGTTGCCAACACCTGTGGTCTGTCTATTGTCAACACCTGTAGTCTGCCTGTTGTCAACACTGTGGTCTGTCTATTGTCAACACCTGTGGTCTGTCTGTTGTCAACACCTGTGGTCTGTCTATTGTCAACACCTGTGGTCTGTCTATTGTCAACACCTGTGGTCTGCCTGTTGTCAACACCTGTGGTCTGTCTATTGTCAACACCTGTGGTCTGTCTGTTGTCAACACCTGTGGTCTGTCTATTGTCAACACCTGTGGTCTGCCTGTTGTCAACACCTGTGGTCTGTCTATTGTCAACACCTGTGGTCTGTCTGTTGTCAACACCTGTGGTCTGTCTGTTGTCAACACCTGTGGTCTGTCTGTTGCCAACACCTGTGGTCTGTCTATTGTCAACACCTGTGGTCTGCCTGTTGTCAACACCTGTGGTCTGTATATTGTCAACACCTGTGGTCTGTGTCTTGTCAACATCTGTGGTCTGTCTGTTGTCAGCACCTGTGGTCTGTCTGTTGTCAACACCTGTGGTCTGTCTGTTGTCAGCACCTGTGGTCTGTCTGTTGTCAGCACCTGTGGTCTATCTGTTGTCAGCACCTGTGGTCTGTCTGTTGTCAGCACCTGTGGTCTGTCTGTTGTCAGCACCTGTGGTCTGTCTGTTGTGGTGTGTGTATTGTTGACATCTGGGGTGGCCACTTTGTACCAACTCTAAGACACTTGCTTCACTTGTCATCCTCATCAGGAAATAGATCAACTGGTCGTGTTTTACGCAGGCTAGTCTTGGCAGAAGCAGGCTGGCCGTAGCAGAAGCAGGCTGGCTGTAGCAGAGGCAAGCTGGTCCGTCTTTCTAGCTTCATGGTAACCAAACTGAGGGGAAATTGAGTAACAGGCCCAGGCTGCCGTGAAAAAAATCTGTTTTGATTCAATTTCTCTCCCCGAATTGGCGAGATTGGGGTGACGGAGAGGTGGAAAGGCTACCAGATAGCTAAAAAATATTTTCTCTATCGCTCAAGGTTGTTCAATTTTCACTTTCCATCTTGTAGTTGTGAAGTCCAGGGAAAAACATTCAAATAAAACTTGCAATTTGGAGATGTTCGCTCTGTCTAGTCACTCTTAACGACAATGTATATGTAAATGTTGGTCGAGGACAATATCGCTATAACAAACAATGATTCCCTTGGCCATGTCAAGGCCCCTGGCGGCCTCCTGGTAGTCCGTTGGGTCCTCTGGTTCTGGTATGGCCTTTGGGGGCCCCTGGTAGTCCAATAGGGTCCCTGGCAGTGGTATGTCCCATGAGGGCCCCCTGGCCATGGTAGGGCTACTGGGGGTCCCCTCTAGTTCCCTAGCCTTGGTAGGGTCCACTGGCATGGTAGGGCCCCCTGGTAGTCGAATGGGGCTCTTGGTCATGGTAGTCCCATGGGGGCCCTGGTCATGGTAGCCAAAAGGGAACCCTGGCACTGGTAGCCCCTGGGGCCCCTAGCAGGGCCATGTTTGATAAAAATGTCCCGTTTTCTATCATAGAATTTTCGCATTATCTAAATCCCCTGGCTTGTCCCCTAGGGCTTCTGGCAGGCCCCTTGGGTGCCTTGGCCCTGGTAGGGCCCATGGGAGCTCCCTGGTAGTCACATAGGGGAAACACATGACCAACTCCACAGTAATAACAAGAGGATGTTAAGGCGGATAAATAAAATATCCTTTCACAATAATTTATTTGATATCAATTTGGCGATAGATTCTTGTTCATTTAATACATGTATCACAGTTTACATACAAAATATTACAAAACAGAGCTGATTCTATACAATGACTACACATGAGAGAGAGGCACAGAAATATGTAAGCTAGTCGAAGTTTAGCTTTACTGTGAGTTGGATGTCGGACGGGGCCGTCGTCTGGGCTCCGGCTCCACTATGTCTACATGGGAAAAATTATCTCTCAAACTTGATTAGGGACAACATGGTAATTGTCAAATATAAATTTTTAAAAATCGTATACCATGTTCTATCTAATCGGCAGAATGTTAAATGATTTCTTTTTTTCTTATGCGTTACAGAGAATTCTCATTAACTTCTAAATTATTTTGTGGCTATCCCTGGAGACCTTCAACATAGGCTAAAGGAACATGAATGGCTGAAAAACTATAACAAAATATTGTTCATAACAGAACCGAGAGCAAGGACCTCACTGCATGTGTTGGTGTCTGTAGGTGGTGGTGTCTGTGCTAGACGAATCAGCTGTGGGGGTGATAGTTAAAAACATTATTGCTACAAGTCTGTAAGCAGATATGTCGCATTAAAAAATATGAAAAACATAAGACTGTCAAAACTGACACCTAGAGTTTGTGTGACATCTAATGCATGAAGGATTATATTTTTTCCTGGTATTTTTGTTAGAATGAAATAGAAACACCTATGAAAGAATAATGCACAACTGAGAGGAAGCATATTACATAATCATTATTAGGATCTGCTGAGAGGACATATCCTATGGAATGATGATGGGCCAAGCAACAAACAACGAACGTGTAAGAACAGTCAAACGGCTTAAATCATGCCAAGCTCTGATACTGGGAACTAAAGTACGTATAATGTCTCTGGCTTAAATATCTACATCCAATAACAAAGTGAAGTCAAATTTTATTCACATTCATACAGATTTTAGCATTAAATTAAAAAATCAATATTCAGTCATGTAAAATTTTTGATATTAGCTTTTAATTTCAGTTTAAGACAAACACTACGAGAGTTTAACTTACAAATATAAACTGAATAAAACCCAGATGGACAATGGCTGCTTCCTAATACCTGAACTTGGATGATTTATTCCATGAACAACTTTCTGTAACAAAGCAGACGTCAGCAAACAAAGTCTAAATGTGCTCAGCCGCATCACTGTTATACTGTATTGCTTGAAGGAATACTTCATAGACTTGTTCCAATCGTCACTAAGAGAAACTTTTTTCAACTTCTTTACTGTTATTTTAGCGTCCTTACTGTGCCTATCTACATTATTTTCAAAATTGTGCAATAAATACGTCCACGCAATAGAATCACTGCCAGTCACTTATAAAATAGTTTATGTCCGCAGTGTTCCTGGTAGTGTGGTCTCACCAGCAGGAGGAAGCAGCCACGAGATGCTTGCTAAAATCATGTGCAAAACATCTTTCACTGTGCTTGTTTGCATCCATTTTGGCAGTTCCTGAAGACCTCCGAGTCAAAGTTTTCAATAAAAGAAGTCTTAACACTCTCCTGGACAGAGGACATAATAAAACCTACATTTTATTTTACCTGCCGGTGCTTAGGAGTTTTTGAACTCCTCCTGCTGAAGACCTGACTAGGATGATGGGCTTTGTTACTCTCGTCACTCAATTCACACGAAGGAGCACGGGAAGAGGCTGAGGCAGAGGGTTGCAATCATCTCTTAGGGTTTGCAACACTCAGTTCCACCTGATTATCAATACCTAAATGCAAATTATCTATCATAATGATTATCATGAGTAGTTTTGTCACTTGCACACACCTACATTCATAAAGCGTAAAGGCCTTTAATGGGTTTTAAAGCACTATACACGTATGTACACAACTATGACTGTACAGAGGCCCTAGCAGTGGCTGTAGGCAGGAGGCGGCGGGTGCCTCTCCACCTGAGCTGTTCCAGTGTTCTCATGGATGGGAGCCAGGGGGGGCTTCAGCTTACATACCACTTGCTCACCACTCAGCACTGCTACAGTCATTTCTCCTAGTTGTTGAAGCTGCTGCAGGTCTCGATGCCTTTGAGCAGCCTCCCAGTTCCGTAAATTGGGCTCACTGAGGGGGTGTACCACAGGCAGAGGGTGGCCCAAGGCTGCTAACACTGCCTGGCTGTACTGTGGCATAGCATCAACAAACTGCCTCCCACTGTCTACCAAGTGCTGACCACTGTTGGCCAAGTGAGGCCCACTGTCCATGTACTGCTGAGTGGCGATGTGACCATTGCCGGGAGGGAGGGCATGGGCTGAGGTGACGGCAGCATGGGTCATAGGGAGGATGTGGCCGGGGCTAACCATGGTGTGGTCGAGTGGAACTCCAACACCCAGCCTGCCACCAGGAAGAGTATGAGTTTGGGAGTCATCCATACCTTCTTGGTGACGGAGGCGAGCTTTGAGTCGTGGGTCATACTGTGGCTGATGGTGGTGGGAGGCTGAGTGACGGTCAGGCAGGGTGTATGGTAGCAGTGGGCGGTGGTCACCATAGCTCCGTGATGACTGGCGAGAGATGTCAGAACTGTGACGTCGGCCGTCCTCGTCACTCAAGTCACTCACTTGTAGTTCTGAGCGACCCTCTCGCTCTATTTCCTCATAGACAGGGTCAGCACCCCCGTCCATCGGGCCCTGGCGAGCGGTGGCTGCACCTTCTGGGATCTCAGTGTATGTGTGGTTCCAGGGGGAGTGGGTGCGGTGGCCACGGGCTGTGCTGGTAGAGGCTGGGAGTCGCAGTGTGGGTGTGTCCCCTGCTAGGCGGTAATCAGGGAGCAAAGCCTCTGGTCCAGGCGGTGGCTGGTCATGGCTACCACCGCCACTACCACCACCACCACCTGCAGCAGCAGCAGCGGCGGCAGCGTTGGCAGTGGTAAATGGGTTAACAAGATGGTCCGGGGGCAGATGAGGTGCTATGTTGTTGTTGAGGCGCAAGGAGGCCAGCTTGGCAGCAGGGCCACTCCGGGGCGAGTCCTCTTGTTCCGACCCTCCGTGCCCACTATCACGACCACAAGACTTGAACGAATACTTCTGAAAGAAATGAGTGGATTAGTTTTCTATTAAAGAATATAAGAAATCATCATATATATAAAGTTTATGTTTTAATATACAGAATTGAAATTCCATATACTGTACAAGACAGTACTCAGAGTTGCCCTATACCACGTAACAGCCCTCGACAATCTAGAACATCTGCATAGCCCTAAATAGCCCAGGATATCTACTAAACCCTAGGAAAGTCCCAGCCAGTCAAGTGCATCTGAAGTATCTCTCGAAATAACCCGTGTTAATCATAGGGCATCCAAGTGCTTCCCTGACATTCCAGGGTATCACATGGGCTTCCCTGACAGCCAAGGGGATCCCAAAAGGCTCCTTAGTAATCCCAGGGTGATTCCCAGTGCCTTTTGGACTGCCAATGACCTCTCAATACAGAGCAGTCCCAAACAGTCCCTGACAGTCTTAGAGAGCACAGAGCAGCTTCAGACAGCCCAGGGTATCCTCCTGGCAGCCCAGGACAACTCAATGCAGCCAAAAACTACTTGAAGCTGCCCTTGGCAGCACAAGACAGTTCAAGACTGAGAGAGCCATGGCAGCTGCGCCGTCTCACCTCATCTTCGTGGTCGTGCGCTGCGGTGCGGGCATGAAGAGTGTGGTGATGGCGAGCTGAGCGGCCGCTGCTGTTCCTCTGAGGGGTGCGGGAGAGCGACCCCCGGGACAAGGATGCCCTGGAGAGGGATGCCCTCGAGAGGGAACCCCCCCTGAGGGGACCCGTTGTTATGGGTGCCTGGGGCAGACCCCCCGCTTGTGACGAGGAGGTCGTGGTGCTGCCCTTGCTGCTCCCCCGCGTCCACCGACCTGACGTCAGCCGCGGCACCAGCTGGGGGAGGACACCACACACCTTGTTAGACACACCTGGGGCACTACCCTCCTCCCTCCCTCCCACTAATACATACAACAATCACTTTTATACTCATAGTTATTGTATATTACAGTCAAGGGTTATCTTAATTAGCAAAAAATTTCTTACAGCAGTGCACAAAATAAAAATTGGTAAAATACTTATAATCTGTTAAACTTAAACATAAAACCCTAAACCCATTACGTTAGTGCAAACACAAAGCTCAGGAACATACATGATGGCTACTAGAACCAAGAATAAAATAAAATATAAAAAATGAAAAAAAAATACATAACATGAGAAGGCCCGTACCAGTGAGCCTGTGTTAATACCGGCCAGGAGGATATAGGATCAAGGATTAACTCTAGGATTAGACTAGGACACAAACCATCACCCACCTAAACCCAAACCGGTGCATATACTATACCAGTTTGATTAAGATGCCAGATGGGGGAGCATTTTGGCAGCATTCCACTATAGGCAGCTATAAGGGATGAAATCTGTGTTAGCTGAGAGCCCTGTCCACCAGAGGAAGCCGTTCACTGGTAGATCACAAACGACCACAGCAGTGCAAGGTAAACTGGTTGCGGTTAGGTTACTTGGTACTCTCACATGGGGGATAGGAGGGGGGAGTTAATGTTGACCTGAGAACACCAGAATTTTAGGTACCTTGACCTCCCGTCGACAAGAAGTACACAACATGAACTGGAGAGGATTAGTATGAACAGAAAAACACAATAAACGGTGGATTTACATACGTTGTGAGCGCCGTGTGTGTGTGTGTGTGTGTGTCTCAACCCAACACCACCAATCTCCACTCGGGATGGCCCACTCACTAACCCACTGACCTAATCCCTATTGTTTTTTTTTAAGGATTTGCCACTCATTTACCCAGACCCTAATCCCATTTCTTGTTTTTGTTAAGGATTAGCCACTGAATAGCCCACTAATATCCATTTTAAAAGGAATAGTAAGAAAAAAAAAGTTAATCACCCAGAAATAATCACACGTTAAAAAAAAATAATTCCGTCTGAAGTCACAATTGACATGACCTCCATTGTGAAGGGTAAGTCAGTGTAGTAACCTGATTAATGTAGTGACCTGATCAGTGTTGTGACTTGGTACCCTTACTGGGATCTGGAGCACCGCAGCGTCAGATACCACCCCTATGAATTCCACACAGCCACAAATTGTCTCCGGAGGTCGTGAGGGGACTGAGGCGCCGCGTAAATGCAACTCTTGCGGCAATTATCATTAGCGTCCGTCTTGGGGTCTTCCCGAGCGAGAGAATTAGGCTTGGTGGGCAGGTGAAGCGGCCCCATTATCTGAAGGAAGGTAGTGGCCTCCAACCCACACACCTCCATTACCTGAAGGTGTGTAACGGCTGCCCCCTCCCCCCTCCATTATCTAAAGGTGGGTAACGCCCCCCCCCTCCCACCTCCAATATCTAAAAGTGGGTAGTGCCCTCAAACCTCCATTATCTGAAGGTGGATAGCGGGTCCCCTCCCTCCATTATCTAAAGTTGGGTGGTGGTGAGCCCATTACAGTGCTGGGGAAGGAGGAGGGGTGGGAAACGATTACCATTAAACTACTTCTCCACTGGTGCCATCACTCCCCCCCACCAAAACTTCGGCTGGCAGAGCTAAAGACCTAAAAATCCAGTTAAGGTTTCAAACTCTTAACGCCTGCCAGAAGACGACGGCATTATAAGATTTTTGAAGATGTAGGACAATTTATACTTCACTATGAATAAATCTTCTACTTAAAGCCACAGCTTGTACACAATACACCTACTTGTTGTTGGTCACACATCGTGTTAGTGTCGAGCGACTGTTTGAGTATTTTCACCCCCTGAGAGTGTTGCAGTAAGTTCTTCATTATACTTAACTTCTGCAGAATACATATCAACGACTGCATTACCTACCACAGAGTTTTGCACGTTATATTTGTCCCTGATAGCCACAGGGATCACTATAGCAATGGCAGACTTGAAATATGACTTGAAATATCATTACCAGACGAAGGGAAGATACCGGTGTTACTTTAGTGCAGCAGCAGCAGCTAGAAGGTGTGAAGCTGTACTACCTGTGAGGCACAGATACTGTCTGTCGTCTTGATGGACGTGTTAATTTAGTTCTCCTGAATGTCTTCCTCATCTGCCACTACATTTACCGTATTACTCTTAGTTAATTACATTCTGTTATACAGGTGCATCTTACACGTCCCGTCCAAGAGTTAAAAGTACCACATTAATTTATGGTAGGCAACGTGAAAAATGAAAATTAGAGTTTACAAAAATACTCGCAAAATGTATAATTTCGAAAAGCTTTTCTCGTTTAATAAAACGTTCAAGTTGGATTATCATAAACGTCAAGGTGAGGTAAGGAGACGTTAGTCGCTCAGTGATTGTGGGTGTAAAACTGTCTCTTCTCTTAAGGCTACGTCAGTCACCCGGCCGTCCTGACGCGCCTCACCCTAAACAATGTACACACCAAGCTGACGAACACCTTCCATCCCTGGTACGTGATATGTGGGCCGGGGAAACAGAGGGCGGGCTTCTGGGCACCAGGAGGACGTTCATGGTAGTTAGGGAAGAATTTCTTCCACCATTCCGAGTGTTACATCTGAGTCTTGGTAATACTATTTATCTGGACATTAAAGTTTTGTTTGCGCCGTTGTCAGCTGTAATTGTCTCCTGTAAGTGGCGCCTTAACCCTGCACCCCCACACCCTCCTCAGCCGGCCTCCAAGGCAGCGAGCATCGCTGATCAATATCTCATTTTCATATCTGTATCTGACTAAGCTAAACACGACATCGACTTATGGCAGGAATTATGCCAGCAAATTGGCCCGTGTCAGACTCCGGAGACTATCATAAAGGGCCCTCAGGTGTCATTTGTCTTATGTGTCAAGTGTCAAAAAGTCTGCCAGAGAGCCAATAACCCCCGCCATGTTGTCGGCAGTGACAGCCAATGGAAATTAATCTTGTTTCAAGACCTGAGGGCTTATTGGCTCCCCGACTACAGCTGTACTATACTACAGTAACTTAAAAATTGAGGGAGCGGCACACTTGATTTACCCATCGCATGCGGTAGATTACAAGTGTCCAGCTAATTTTTTTTAATATTGTTTAATTTATATTTGTTATGTGGCCGAGGGAGGGAGAGAGACGATACATTAATGCCCAGTTACGTCGGGGTGTTAACCTGGTCATGTTAAGTGACTAGAATGTGACCAAGTGAACAAGAGTGAAAGTCTTCATTAAATACGTTATACAGCATTCACTTTACGGTAAACTTTTACAATATGAGCTAAAACTAATGATTGTTTATAATATGCAAACGATAATAATTACAGTACGAGAACAAGGAATTGAATTTTTAATTAATACAAGAGCTCTGTAGATAACTGTGCATACACAGTAATACAATGCAATACTTGTAAATATATAACTATATTAAGTGTAAATGTCAATCATAACACAGCCAGACATTAAGTTCGCTAGCCCAGACCAAACCGTGATGGAGGGAGGTTCACATAGCTGTCATCATCATTATTATTATTATTATTATTATTATTATTATTATTATTATTATTATTATTATTATTATTATTATTATTATCATCATCGCCGCGCTCCAGTTGCAAACGTTGAGGACAGCAAAGTTGGGCATCAGGGAAGGCTTAATGCAAATGCAATTGGTCGTCGTTCTCTTTAACAGCTCAGCAACTTGACCTGTTTTCTGGGAAGCATTTAGGAAACTACAAATTCTATGAAAATCGACGATAATTGAATATAATTTCAATAGCACCCAGACAGAGGACGACCTAACACACACACACACACACACACACACTGTACGGTACATTGATATTGTATTGTTGAGGCTTTCTGCCATTGAGTGTTATGTGTAATGATTGTAGAAGGTTTGACAAGACTTATTGAAGGGGGGGAGGGAGGGGTTGGAGATGGCGGGGAGGAGTGGGGATAAAGAGAAAGGGGGTACAAGATTGTTGATCGCTGGTGAAATGGGAGAGGTGGGAAGGGATGCGAGATGAAGTGGAGAAGTGGAGAGAGTGAAGAGGCAGGTGGAGGGAGGAGGGGGAGGAGGGAAGGTCAGGGGGGGGCAACACGTCTTCAAACATTTCCCTCTCCTGCTCAGTACGGTATGTGGTGACTGGTGAGTTACCTTAAGACACCACAACACTTGGTCTACAGTGACAGACTCTACACTACCAGAGGCTCGCTGTAGAGTCCACCTACTGGGTTAACTTAGGCTAAAATACAACAATCTACGTTCAGAAATGGCTTAACAAACTGCACCGAGATTCTACCTTAACTATATACATTCACTTAACGCCGTTTAGTATATAATATTAAAGGTGTTGAATCTTTTCCCCAGGATTATATTTAATTTTTATTTTTGTTGAGTTATTTTTTTGGTTTAATTTTAAGTTAAAGAATTAAGTTGCATTCTTAATTCATCAGTGAACCTTTGTGAACCTGGACACTGAGGCAGGCAGGACGATAATTAATGCGTGCACTGGGAGTTAGGAGGATGGGGGGTGGGGTAGGGGGCACGATACTAAATCCAGTCACCTGTTTTGACATCACATTACGGTCGTGCATTAACAAACACGACGACAACAACCGCAACACGACACATTTGTCCTAAAGTACATATCGGCGCTAAGATATCTGTCCCATATACCAACACTATCTCTCTTAGGTACACAATACACCTTCTACACGACAAACAATTCATCAAAACCCTCCTCTGTTGCGTCACCTAAAACAACATGGTGTACCCTTCTTTGCACTTTATTTTTATATATATTTCTTTTCTCTCTCTCTCTTTCTCTAACATTCCTCTCTTTCCCCTTTCATTGCATTCCATCGTCTCCATTTGTTGAACACACCCCGGCCTTCCCCTCTTTCATTACTCTTCTCCCTTCCTTCCTCCTCCTCCTCTTCCTGCCTCTCAAAACTTTACCAACCTCTCCTCCTCCTTTTACACCCTCCGTCCTGACAGTTTGTGTGGCTCACCAACAGTCAACAGTAAAGGTTAATATGTCAATACGTTCACTTCACGCCCTACGAGATTCTTGTACTCTGCATGGGTACCTTGTGTAACAATTCATCTACCGTCTGTCAGTGGAACAAGTTGATCTACCATCTGTCAGTGGAACAAGTTGATCTACCATCTGTCATCCATTCCATGAAGAATTCCGGGTTAGTCGTGTGTGTGTGTGTGTGTGTGTGTGTGTGTGTGTGTGTTCCTCCCCCGGGCGGACAGATCAAAGACACACACCGTTAATTGAAAGTGAAGTTATGGATGGTGGGCACCTTTGATGAGCTCTGGGTCCCAACAATATTTGTAGACGAGATGATGAAGTGCCCCCCCCCCCTCCCCATTCGCTCTCTTCAACCTAGATGTGTTTTACGGCCCAATTTCCTTTTTTTTCTATCTCCCTATTTCTCTTTCTTTTTCTTCGCCTCTTGTCCTACAACATTCAGCAGGTCTTTACAGGGTCATTTTCAGTTTTAGAATATACTGGCTCTTCTAACTGGCGTTTTTTTTATCTCCTGCTAAAAAAAACATGATCCGTAATCCCAACTTTACTGTTAACAAAAAGCTGCACAAAAGTCCGGCAGGCGGCTGATTAAAAGAAACTGGATGGAAGACTTGCATAATTACACACCCGCATTTATCGTCTGTCCTTCCAAAGTAAAATTAACAGCTAATTTTCGATTGTATATTATGTTCTTACGTGACACCACCACAAAGTAATCCCCATCGCTGTGGATACTACCTGACAGGTTTTCACAATAGGGTACACCATGACACGTGCTAATACCTCAAGATTTATACTCGAGATCCAGGTGGTTTAGCACTATGTTCCCTGATCGATGGTATTCAGAATTCTTCGATTATTTCCCCGATAAGGGCCTGAATTTCGGAAGGGAAATAATCACCCAACAACTTACCAACGGTTGTAAGGAAGAATTAAGGAAGCACAAGAGATACATTATGATAAAACAGCTGGAGAGAAAAGCGTAAAATAAATTACGATATATACAGGCATAAGTAGGTTATATTGAGTGAATAAACAGCAGGATTCCCCCGACCCTCTCAGACGGGAGGCAGCGAGCGGGAGTCTCCTCACCATCGTCCCCAGAACACAACAGCTCCTGGTCAGCCGGCCTCATCCTACATGCATGAGTCGACCTCCACGCCAGTTTTGACCGAGCGTCTGATAGCAAACTAAGGTCAAACTAGGTCAAACTAGGTCGATTCCCATGCATGTTGGTACAGCAGCGACCCGTCAGCTCATCGTTGTGTAGTGGACGACGTCTCTGCTTACATCACTTTTCCCTCACCCAAATGTTTTGGTTGGCTGCCTCGTCCCGCCACTACTATGGTGTACAGCGGCATGTCTCATGATGGAAGACATCTGCATATTTAGGCATACATGCATGCGTACGCCAGTGTTGTGTGTGTAGCATTAAGTGTTGAGCTACACAGTGTGTAGCGTGTGGTGCTGACCTAAGGTACAGTACATGCTGCGAGCTACGCTACCCACCACCAACTACCGTCATGGGCTCACGGCTCCCCTCGCCGACAACACTTGCTAATGGAACCATCTGCACACTGGTCTGGTGTACATGCCGCAGTACCTCTTGCAGTTTCCTACCAAGAATATTCTAGTCAAGAGTGTAGAGAAGCGTTAATAGCGGACTTGTTGCTCTAGAGCCTCCTACCCCCCATACCGCCGGTTACAAAAGCAGCCCTTCAATTTTGGGAGTGAGTATTTGCTGAAGTCTTGGAGTGAGTGACATGGTAGCGAGCGTGCGGCTCTAATCGTTTTTGGAGGCGAGAGAATAAAATACCTTTTACATTGTTGTTGCTGTTCTTTTGGGGCCTCTCCGGCTTTCGAGGGGGAACTTTACTCTTGGGCGTGCTTGGGGCTAGGGTGGTGGGGGTGGGGGTGGATGGGGTGGGAGGGGTTGGGGTCTGGCCTCCCCTTAGGGACTGTCTGGTAGGATGTACAGAAGGAGCTGGGGATAGGTAGTTAACCAGGGCGGGAGGAGTGTGAGGAGGGAGGACACTCTCGCCTGGTGGTGGAGGGTGTTGGAGGCTGGTGGTGGTGATGGTGCCAGAGGTGAGATGAGACTTAGGCTGGAGGTAGTTGGAGTCGTCTGGGGTTAAGTGGATGGCAGCCAGTGGGAATTGCAGGAGGTTGTGATAGTGATGATGATCAATAGTCTGTAAGGATTTGGGGTTGTTAGAGTGGAGGGAGGAGAGGGCAGCCTGAAGCATGGAGGGGCTGAGGGAGAGGGCTGAGACAGTCTGTTGCTGGGGGAGGATGTGGGTGCCTATCGTGAGAGGGTTAGAGCGAGGCTGGATGTAGTGGTGGAGGGCGGCTGAGGCCAGGGTGGGGCCTGCAGTGTCATACAGCTGAGACAAAGTTGGGGTGGGTGGGGGCGAGGAGTAGATCTGAGCGGCATTGACCTGCTGGATGTGGAAGGGGAGGGCGTTCTGGTAGTCAGGAGGAACGGTTGAGGCGGAGGATGTGGATTCACAGGTTGAGGATGGGTAGACGGGTAGGTTGAGGGCAGCATTGATGGAGCCCACAGGGGCCCCGGTCTCGTCCAGGATGGTATGGTCGGCCTGGGATAGGTGGTGGGCGGCCAGAGGGTTGAGGTTAACGGGTAGCTGGATGTGGGTGATGGGGTGGGCGTGGGTGGTGGCGGCCTGGGCGTTGGGGCAAGTGTGGGCGTCGTGGGAAGAGGTACCCACTGTATGAGAGGCGTGCGAGTTGGGCTGTGAGTGGGAGCCGGCATTGTGGGAGGTGCGGGTGTCCTTGCTGGTCTGTGAGCGGTCGTTGGCGGCACACAGGCACGCCCGCAGCCAGGGGTGTCGCCGCCCAGCCCTACGTAACTCCTTCTTCACCTACCGGGTACAGACACACAACATATACCCACACTGTGAGGGCGGCGCGGCGGCCTGGTCTACCTTCCTACACATCCTCCAGCTCAAACAAACAAAAATTACTATAACTTACAGTAAAAAATAACTAACACTACAGCAACTGGGTGAAAGAAAAAAGTTTTGAAAAAAGTCTAAAACTACAGGTATCAAAAATGTTACAAAAATTAGTCCAAAATAAAAACTTGATGAAACAGGGTAACCGTGAGACACCACAAGGTTAATATATAAGTAACAACACAGCGGTATAAGAAGCTACACAAAATACTTTTAGTAAATTAGTCTTAAAAAAAATCATCAAAGGGGACACCCACAACCAAAATATAATATAAAATAAATAACAATTGAGCTCATTATGAAGGACGCAATAACTAATTACAGGTGTTAATAACATAAAACTTTTATACGTGAGAAGCACACCTGTTGACCAAGTTCTCTTATCAACAACTGTACAGTAAGTCATGAACATCCCTATAGACACACGTTCATCCATCCAGTCCACAGCCTCCCCGTGCCACACACACACACACTCAGAAATTCCACCACAGCACCATACACACACGGAACTTCCACCCCACACACAAACAACGACCAAAACACACACACACACACACACACACACACACACACACACACACACACACACACACACACACACACACACACACACACACACACACCACACACACACACACACACACACACCGCTACTCACCTTATCGTTCTGGACACAATGAAATATGAAGATGAAGAGTCCCTGCAGTGAGTTGAGGACGGTGAAGATGTAAGCCATGACGACGGTGGCTTGGTTCAGGTAGAGCAGCCCGAAGGTCCACGTTAACCCCAGCAGGAACATCAACACTATGGCTCCTCTCACCCAGGTCCTGCGGCGACACAAACTCACGGTCAGTAAAGTATATCCAGAAATGTTTGTTCCTGAAGAGGTTTACAAGACAAGGGTACACAGGGGTTTACATAGTGAGGGGTGTGTCATGTAGGGAGTGATGGTGTTGGGTGTGGTGGGGTGATGGTGGGTGGTGGGGTGATGGTGTTGGGTGTGTGGTGCTAGTGTGGTGCTGGGGGTTTAGTGGGGGTGTGTACTGGGTGTAGTACTGGGTGAAGGATGTTACTTTGGTAGGGAAACAAGCTTTATACAGTACTTTGGAGAGGAGGTAGGGAGGCGGAGGTGATGTGTGGTGCATAAGACAAGTGAGGAAAGTGGTGTAACGGTGAATGTCGTACTGTGCGTCTGAGCAGTGAGAGAGAGAGGCACTTGGTGGGGAGAGAGAGAAGAGGGCGCCTACTGTGTTTAGCAAGACCTTCCACTTACTTCCTCGTGGGACTGTGAACTCCTCCCCTCCCCCCCCCTCCTCAAAGGTCCAAGGTCTCGCTCTTCAGGTATTGCCAGACTTAAACAACAACAATAACATAGTGAAAAAGAGGAAGAGGATCAACACACAGCGTTTCACTCTGTATTTGGACACTCGTCAGGGGTTAAGCTGTGAAGGTGTTGTTTGGTGAAGCTACTGTCAGCACGGTTAAACACATCGCTGACGAGAACAATAACATGACCACACGCACGTCAGTAAACTTTACGACAAGTTTAAGGATGTTCGCTGCCCTGTACGACTCTCTGCCAGGATTCTAAACGGTTCGTAGGTGAGGTCTCCCCACTTCCTGGTGATATAAGAATGCATCTCAGTGACACACTTGAGCTGCGACACAATGGAGGCGACGTAAACAGTGTGGAAATCGTAACGGCATTTTACCTGGCCTTGATGCGACTCTTATCCTCACTTAGGGATGAAAAAATAACCAACAAATTTTATGAAAATTGAGATCTCGGCCACCAGCGACCATCCCTGGGAGAGAGAGGAGTTTGGAGGGCCTGGTAGTAGGAGGGGGTGAGGGGACCAGCTAGTGGAAGGAGGGAATCTCGTATTTGAGGTAGGGGAAGCGGAGTACTGACAGTGTGATGGTCTGTTGACTGTGACGACACGATGGTTAGGTTATGGAAATGTGAATACGTTGTATCTAGGGTGTGGTCGTGTGGAGGTGGTGTGGTCGTGTGTGCCAGCTGGTGTGTGTGTGTGTGTGTGTTAAGTACCCTGGGAGGACAAGGTGGCTGGGTCACGACTGGTGAGTGTTAAGAACTTCACGTGTCATCCTCCACAAAATGGTATAACACCATTTTTCTTCTTCACTCTTTATCACACTACGCTCCACTCTTAAACTATTTCTATTCCATCAAACCCACACACACTCCAAAACTCTGGCTATATACAGAAGCGTAAACCTTTAAAACAAGAAAAACATCCACTATTTTTTGAGAAAAGCGGTAAACGCCAAACACAGAGGAAAACAACTCGAGAGTGAAGCAGTCAGGTGAACACCCTCAAAACACACAAAAACACGGGAAAAAAAACATTGGCTGCTTGTGGAGGCTGAAGCAGAGGACGTGTGCTTGTGTTTCCCCGGCTTGTTCACTCACTAGGCCGCGGGTAACCAGTTAGTGATATTTTACCGTGAGCCTTGGTAATACTCGGGTCCACTAGTTCTGCTCTGGACGACGGCTTCTGGTAGACTTATCCTGATCTTCACAGCTTTCTATAACGCTGGTCGGTATTAGAGCCAGCAACCTACCGGCTTTACAACATACACCAACAGAACCCGAGGGTATTGGTACACCACACGCTGGTATACCGAGGCTGGTATACCTTCACTACACTGTCTCGCTTTGTTGGTTTACCTTTACTGTAGATGTTTTAGTCCATATGCAAGGGGTGGTCAAGATGGAAGGAAGGAAGGAAGGAAGGTTGTGGTGGTGATGGCGGGAGGGAGGGAAGGAATCCTGGTGGTGCGGGGAAGGAAGGGGTTGGGGACGTCGGGAGGAAGTCCTGGTGGAGGAAGAAGAGGGTAGAGGGAGGGAGAGAGGAGAGGGAGGGAGAGGGTAGTAGAGGGAGGGAGAGAGTAGAGGGAGGGAGGGAGAGAGGGAGGGAGAGAGGGAGGAGAAAAGGAAAGAGAGAATGGAAAGAGAGAGGAGGGAAGAGAGAGAGAGAGGAGGAAGAGAAGAGAGGGAGGGAGAGAGGAGGGAGGGAGGAGAGAGGGAGAGGAGGAGAGGGAGGGAGGAGGAGGAGAGGAGGAGAGGAGAGGGGAGGGGAGGGGAGGGGAAGGGAGGGAAGAGCCTCGTCCACTGGGTATTATCATCTAAATGAGTGGGTCTCTACATCCCGCTGCTCTCCCAGTTGAAGCTTAAAACCAGACTGTTAATTTTACATGCGTTGGCTTGTCATTCCAGGAGATCCTGTTGTTCTGTTTGTGCTCTGTTGACGGTCCTGTTGTTCTGTTTGTGCTCTGTTGACGGTCCTGTTGTTCTCCCGTTTGTGTTCTGTTGACGGTCCTGTTGTTCTCCCGTTTGTGTTCTGTTGACGGTCCTGTTGTTCTGTTTGTGTTCTGTTGACGGTCCTGTTGTTCTCCTGTTTGTGTTCTGTTTACGGCTCTGTTGGTTTCCTGCTTTTATGTACCGTTGTGGGGATGATTTTTTGCTGTCGAGACGAAATGCGTTGTGTTTACTGTGGAGTGCGAGGGCGAGTGGTGAGGGCGAGTGGCGAGTGGCGTGTGGCGAGGGTGAGTGGTGAGGGCGTGGTGATGGCGAGTGATGAGGGTGAGGCGGTGGTGATGGCGAGTGATGAGTGGTGAGGGCAGGATGAGGGCGGATGATGAGGGCGAGTGGTGATGGCGAGTGGTGAGTGGTGAGGGCGAGTGATGAGGGCGGATGATGAGGGCGAGTGGTGAGCGAGCGGTAATGGTGAGTGATGAGGGCGACTCCAGGGTTTCCTCACCAAATGTCAAATGCCATTCCTCTCTCTCTCTCTCTCTCTCTACCTTTATCACCTCCTCCTTCTCTTACCATTCCTCTGTTGTATACACCAATTCAGGTTTGTTTTTTCTTAATTTTCACTTGGGTTTTTTTTTTTTTTTTTTTTTTGGTATCACTCGTTTCGCTTTTCTTCTGTTCTAAATTTACTTTCCGGACCAGCTGGCTTTGATAGTTTTGAAACTTGTCCGAGTTTATTCTGTCGCTCTTCCTGTGAGATTTTTACTGAATTTTTCGACACGTGTCAACACAGGAGAGCAGCAGGAGGGGAGAGGCGTGCAATAGAAGACTGGCTGGCTGGCTGGCTGCTGGTGGTGGTGGTGGTGGTGGTGGTCCTCGCCTAACAAGATACGTCATTCTTCCCTTTTCCTATATTTTTCTTCTTTTTCATCCGTTTCGTTTTTTTTTAGGGGGGGGGGAGGAGGGGGTGAACAAGACCCAGGGTGGTGTATGGTGGCTGCCTCGACCTTATTCTCTTTATAAACAGTTATGGAACTAGAGAAGGTCATCATCAAATAGTATTTCTTCACTTTCTTCTCCCAAAACTAGAGTAATTTTTTCTTCACAGGTTTGGGTTCTTATTGGTGGAGCGTCACAGAGGCCATGTTGACATTTGTATCTCACGCACGACTAACACACACACACACACACACACACACACACACACACACACACACATTGTAGGTTCTTCAGTCTCAACAATAGCTGGCTGGGAACACACATTTTACACCGGAAAGAATATACGTAAAACTCTCTTGAATTTCATTACCTCTTGGGGATGTTTTTTCTGTAACTTAAAACAAAATTAAACCTAAAACATCATCATCATATCACACAATTGGTTTTTCCCAACAGTTGGAAAAGAAAGAGTTAACCAAGTGTTTAAGGCAAGTATGAGCAAGACAAACAGGCGTTCCTTGGCTGGTGTTGACAGGTCAAGAGTGAGACCCTTAAGTTCACCCAGAAAAAAAAAGTGACATTCAATTCTCAAGTGTGTGAAGAGAAGAGTTGGTTGAGGTTAAGGTCAGTCTTCTAGGTTAACTGCTCAATGTAAAGCAACTATTTTAAGCAACAACAGAAGGACGAGTAGGCGGCACCACACCATCCACTTGACTCTAGAAATGTATAGATAGAGGCTGCAGAGTACAGTTAGAGCGAGGAAGAAGTTAAGGCAGAGGTTAGAGCAGGAGGCCGACCCAAGATGCTACAAGCAACCAAGCCTTCCCCATGCAACAGCAGCAGCAACCCGTGACTCAGGGACTCCTGCAGCAGGCTGTATGCTCTCGTGACGACCCGAGACCCTGGCTGTGTTGAGGCCAAGCGGGCATTGTGAGTGCTGGGTCCCTGAGAAGTGTGAGGGAGGTGCTCGTGCTACCAAGACAGGCAAGAGCTCTAGAGACCCGACTGAGCTAGTTCATGATGAAAACTCACTTCTTATGAACATCAACAGACTTCATTACCAAGATAAACAAATTACCTGTGAACTATACAAGGTGACACAGGTAAACACTCCGGCTCAGTCAGGTCCCCTACACTCGTTCCCACAAGACAACTCAAACGACCACACTTCGTCTTACACATGATTCTGGATTTTGGCGAAGAGTGCACTCTCCTCTCCACCACTATATACGTCACCATCATCACCACCCACACCACCACCATTACCGTCACAGTCACCACAGCAGCAGTGACCGTAGCAGTAGTAGTAGAAGCAGTGACACCAACAGCAGATGAAGACGCAGGGTTGACACAGACGGAGGTAAACAAGAGAAGATTAGTATGGGAGTCTGTAACTAAGTTATACACCACCGGGCTTATAATTCCTGCGTCTGGCCGCCACCACGGGAGGTTAGTGATAGTGTTGCCAGCTCACACAACACACCCGTAATTACACGGGTTCAAATTATACTAACAGATGCGGTTAGTCTAATATAGTTATAAAGGTGTCTTAATTACACACAAGTAAGAAAGGTTGTCTGAGGCTGTTAACATAAAACTACACAAGAAGTTATCATAGACAAACTACTGAGAAATATGAATAATAAAAACTAAACATTACATGAGAGGAAGTAGAGATACACTCAACCAAGCTCTGGAAACTTATTAGAATCTGGAACACAATGACAACACAACATTAAATAAGTCTTTCCTGTCCTAAGACTACAGTTAAAAGGTTTATCTAGACAGGTGTGTGGCTGTGACAGGTGTGGCTGTGACAGGTGTGACTGAGACAGGTGTGACTGAGGCAGGTGTGGCTGGGATAGGTGTGACCAGCCCTATAGTGAGTGTGCCTTCCAGAGTTAAGCTAACAGAGGTGTGGGCAGCTCATTTGATAAGAGTCTCTACTGACAATAAAACTTTCGCGAATAAAAGTTCCCCTGTCTGCTTAATTACTTCGTCATCATCATCATCATCATCATTATCAATGTTTATCATTTTTTCTACGTGCATAATCCTTTAGGCTATTACTGAAACTTTTATTGAGTAGTTCAGTACCACACAACCCCCTCAAAGGCTTAACGTTCAACCCAACAAAAGGTTTTTCAAATGCAAAAAATTTCTCAGGATTTTTAACTCCCAGTAAATGAGACTGATGAAGGAAGTATTAACGCATTATGTCTCCCATTATGGCTTCCTCCCAGGCATTATGTCATATTGTTCTCGAGCTTTGTGTCTCACTTTAGCCATTGTGTGTGTCTCAGTTTAGCCACTGTTTGTCTCTCATGAGCTGTCTCTTCCTCAACTCATAATCTTTTAATAACATTTAATATTTACCTTCGGTCATTCTACTCCTTTCATCTCTCTCTCTTTTACTACTACTTCCCTTCATCTATTTAACCCATTTTTCCTCCCCTTTTTTCTCTTTCGCCATCCTCTCCCGTCTCTTCTTTCCTTCCTATCACCCCTTCACTACATCTTCTCTAATTTAACTACACTTCCCTTTCTTCCTCTTTATTTTACTTTCCTTCCTCTTTCCTGGTGTTATCTTGGCTTTCCTCTCTCCCTTTTCATCCATTCCCCTTATTCCGTCTTTAATATCCATGTTTCCCTTCTCCATCCATCCATGTCGTTTCTACTTTTCCATACCCCATCTCTCTCCAACTTCATCCATCATCTAAAAATCCACCCAGAACCTGCTGGTGGCGAGACTCACCTGACGGAGGCCAGCTTAGTGTGTTCCTTGTTCTTGAGGGAGGCAGTGAAGTTGGTGTGGCGGCACATGATGAACAGCGACATACTCAGGAACACAGAGTTGGCCTGCGGGGGCAACGAGAGTGGTGTTAGTTATAAGGTGGACGAAAGGTGAGTAATGATGATGATAATAATAATAATAATAATAATAATAATAATAATAATAATGATAATAATAATAATGATAATAATAATAATAATAATAATAATAATAATAATAATAATAATAATAATAATAATAATAATAATAATAATAATAATAATAATAATAATAATACTAATAATAATAATAATAATAATAATAATTATGATTATAATAATACCTGTAATAATAATAAAACGAAGAATGATTACAGGTGAGTCAGACATTTTTTTCTCTCAGGGAAGGATTGAGAGAAAAATGTATAGGGCAGCTGTAGCATCTAATAGTGTCATCAAGAGTAAGAACAATAATCATGGTACAATACTACAAAAAGTTCTTATTGAGATAGTGTTCCCCGCCTGGCGTGTTTGGTGGAGAAACTTATTCGTTGTATTGAAGTCGTTTACACAACCAATAACACATTATTTTGTAAATCACAACGAAAATACAAATTACTTTCTAGCACAATGGAGTGAGAAAGCACATACACACACTTAAACATTATTGCGTTTCTAAGTTTGTAGTTAAATGTGCACTTCAACATTATTGTACTCATGTTGCTGAAGAACTTTCCGAATGTGGATAAAAATTCGAGAAAAAAACATTATAGCATCAAGCAGCACGGCAACACAGTCGACTGCCGAGTGTAAGCAATCCCGGCGATGTTTGGGTTGGGGTAATATGGCGGGCGGGAAGACTGTCAACTAACCGGAATGTGAGGACGACTGTGTGTGAAAGGTGTTCATAAACATGTGTAACCCTCTGTGTGAGGCATCAAGTCTTCATTGTTAGTTTCCTGTCGCAATTATCCCATAAATTACCAGAGTTTTTGCTTCTTGTCCAAAAGTGTGCGTCAAGGCTGGAGTCTGAAGCAGGACATTTCGTAACCAAATGTATGCGGTGCTTTTTATAATTAGTTATTCTGAAACAAGAGACTCCTTGTAAGTTTACTACCACAGCGAGAACCTTGTGTGTGTGTGTGTGTGTGTGTGTTTATCAGGCTGTGTTGGCTCTCCTGGCATCAGTCTTAAAAGTTCGGCTGTTATTTTTCCAGTAACCGGAGACCCGAGAATGCATTTAATATTCTCACTAGAGCAACGAAACAAAGATGGCGGCGGCATAAATGGAAGCGAATGGAACCGAGAGTCTACCGTTGCCTGATGAGTTCTATGATGTCCAGTTAAAGAAAAAATAAAGAAAGAAAGAAAGAAAGAAAGATTCTAATTTGGAATATTAAGAAAATTCGCTCCCTGGACTAGTGGTGGTATTGCAGTGTTCCAAACAACCGTCCACCATAATCACTTGCCGTTTGAGGCTGAAGTTTTATTCTCAGGTTTTTCTACATTTTCTCTTAAGATTTTACGTTTTCTCTGATTTTCCTCTAGTTTAGGTTTTCCACAAGTTTTATTTAACCCCCCCCCCCACCAGCCCCAAATGAACTTGTAAACACTGACTCGGTTTTCCTCAACACACACCGCAACGATCAATAGATTTAACCTCCAATATGAAGAAAACAAAGAACAAGGAGTGATTACATTTCTGTCAAAACTGAACCAACACAACATGAACCTGACAACATTTTCCCCAGCTAACTCGTCTTATTTTACGGTTTTAGGCCCTAACACCACATAACCACACCACACCACACCACACCACACCACACCACACCGAAACTAACCTAATCTAACTGGGTATTCGGGCTTATAAAAAAAAACTCCAGACATCATGATTTTGTTCGGCTTTTGTAATTTGGTGGAGCGGGATTTTTTTTCACAGAGGAAATTACTAAGTGGGATTTTGTCCTCTGGTAGAGTTTTGTTGTTTTCCAAAGTGAACTCTCGGTGCAGGCGGGACTCATCAGTTATTTTACACCGTTATTGACGATTAAAACCTGTACGATGATGAGCAACAAAAATCGTGTAGAAAATCATGTAGTTTCAACCGACTATACCACCATATACCCAGGTGTGTCTCTGTGAGGGAGGGGGGGAGGGGGGGCATCACACCTGTCGACGAACTGAGCTTCAGGTGTCCCCAGTACTGATCACCGGTACCTTGGACACTTGGTGACTTCCTCCTCTCCGGAAACATTGACCAGCATGACCGAGGCTGAGATATAAACAAGATCATCTCGAGTTGGGTAAATGGAATCACAATTAACTGAAACTTAATTTAAGAATTGTGTGTGTGTGTGTGGGGGGGGGGGTGTGTGTGGGGTCCCGGCACACACCAGGAATACCTCTCTTTTCCTCCCAACTCCAACCTACCCCTCTCATAACCTCCCGTTTCCTACACTTTCCTCTTCTCTAAATCTTTTTTTTTTATTAGATTCCCTCCCTCTTTTCTACTCTACCTTCTCCCCCTCTCCTATTCCTCACCTCCATTCTCTCTTCTTCCACTCCTCCCCGGCACCACACACACACATTCTTCTCCCCGGCCTCCACTCCCCGCGCGTGCCGGAGAGAAACAAATGAGAGGTACGGAGCGAGAACATTACCCTCAGATAGTCTCCATCCATCCCCTCGCCCGGGCCAACCCCCCCCCGTCACCTGTACACCGCCCGGGGGACTCGAAAAATATCCTCACATTGCTCGTATACACCTAACCCCCCTCCTCTCCGATCACCTTCCTCACCGCCTCCGCCTCCTCCGCCTCCGCCTCCGCCTCCTCCTGCAGATCCCCAGCCATCGACAGATCACCTCCCGGTCCAAAATATCACATCTTTCACAGCCTGGAAGTAGATGTTACCGTGTTAAGGTATCCGCCATATAAACAGATCAAACTATACAGTGTTATCTCTCTCTTAAAATCAATTAGTCACTCTTGCTGCTGTGATCATCGGTCCCTCCGGCGCCAGTGATGCTCCGTACTACACTTCACACAGGGCTCGAGGAGGTGCACAATAAACTAGCTGAGTAAAAGTGAATCTAAAAAATACTATGTTGAGACCAGTAAGAATGGTTCGCAACTTGAGTGAAAAGACTGGGGTGCATATTTACCTATACTAAGTACTTTAATCAGGTGTGACATTGAATATATTGTCCACTGACGACACAAATGTAACGGAATTACGAGCTTAAATATGACAACAGCACGATGATGACTAGGTACGTTCTCTTTGTTTACACTTACGAGGACACATTTAACGCAGGAACCTTTGACAATCCATTACCAAGGTCCGTATTCACAAAGGTTCCTTTTGTATCTCCCCCAAGAATACGGAGAAGAATACCTCTAATTACAGTTCAGGTTACAAGTGTTGCAGCCACCACCTTTACCTGAGGCTAAGTGAGCTAGTTAGTTGTGCGTCCTTTATGTCTTCATTTATTGGGGGAACGGGGCCCTCTGAGACTCTCGGCCAGGAAGGGGGACTGTGAGGATGAGAAGAGGACGTGAGGATAAGGAAGGAGGACTGTGAGGATGAGGAGGGAGAGGGGCGTGTTGTGTGAAGCGAAAAAAAATCCTCTTGGTAACAGTAGAAAAGTAATGACCAGAACCAAGACCTGTGATTGATGGTGAAGATATGGTGATGCAGAGAACACCAGTGATGGGGAAATAATGATGGAGGATGATGGTGATGATGATGGAAGGAGAAAAAAATACCCGGAATTATGTTTGTGATGATGGTAACGGTAGAATTATGGGAGTGAGGGAGATGATGATACGTGTTATGGCTATGATGGTGACTCACAGAGGTCCACGACACACAAACACCGCCAGTAAGAGCAATCATTATCGCCAGGCACTTAGGACATCCCAAACCCAGCGATGATAACGTGCATAAACAATACTACTACTGCTACTACTACTACTACTACTACTACGCCAGACGTACGTTCGCCTTACTTCTCTTGCATTGGAGGTCTCATAAAGGTATGAATCTGCGTAGGGCGTGGATATTGAAGGTGGTTGTGTTGAGGTGGTGGCGGTGTGGGAGGCCTTGAGGTGGTGGAGGAGGGTGATAGTGAGGTGGGTGTTGACGAGGAGGGTAAAGAGGGAGGGAAGGAGAGAGGGGGAAGGTGAGGCGGACAGGGAGGGAGAGGAGAGGGGTTGGGGAGGATAGGGAGGGAGAGAGGGGGGTTGAGGGAGGATAGAGAGGGAGAGAGGGGGGTTGAGGGAGGATAGGGAGAAAGGGGAGGGATGGAAGGAGGTGTGAGGCCCGAGGCAGGGTGATCTAAGTTTAAGAGGTGTGAGTAAGTTAGCGGGGAGAGAACTCTGGCGGAGGCGGGGTGGAGTTTGGAGCCTAACTTTTAACCCGTTACTTTACCGCCACCTCCTCCCTAATTCCGCACTGCGTCAGTATTATAATAATTACTGTTTAGTCTCCCTCTCAAGACTAACTCCGTTTTCTATGATACTTTTCAATCACCCTCACTACTATATTCTTCGGGTTATTAATTGACTGCTCTCTCTCTCTCTCTCTCTCTCTCTCCACCAGCAAGACGGACCACCAGTCTCCTATATAACTCACACACTAGAGTGAGTTAAGGGACGAGACCTGACCACCAACAGGTAATTACCCAGGGACAATACCTCACCTGAGCCTCGACCCTAAACGAGAGAAGAAAAAAAATAATCAAACGAGAATAACTTACGAGAGAGTTATGCAAAGTGGATGTGTGTGTGTGTGTGTGTGTGTGTGTGTGTGTGTGTGACGCTGGTGAAGGATCTCTCGGCAATCTTTGGGTGTTGGTCGGGGTGAGGCATAGTTCCCTCTCACCTAAAACACTGACTTGATCTTCACTATCTATGAGAGAGACAATTTCGTCTAGTGCCTTACGTTTAGGGTAAGAGTACACTGTATACTTGGTACTGTCTAGGTACACTGTATACCTGCACTGTCTAGGTACACTGTATACCTGCACTGTCTAGGTACACTGTCTATGGACATAATGAACCAGTGTGAACCTATATGATGATTCAA